AAGAGGACGCGAGGCGGATTCACTGAATGTGCAAAGGTCCCCGGGGGTTTGCGTCCCGGCTGTGGTGACGGTGCTCTTCGAAACCCGTCACACATTTGCAATGTGTAATCATCAGCAGCAGCGGCAGCAGCGATGTTCTATTCACCGCTGGATGAAATCCTTCCCAACATCGCAGCCATCTCTGGACATTTGTGAAAAAGAGCTTCACAGCTCATCGGATTCCTCCATTCTGAGTAAAGATTCTGATTCTGATCTCCCGCGGCCCTGCAATCTCACAATTCCATGTTGCTGCTGCGTGTGAGCTGCATTACTCGCTCCATCTCCACGGCGGGTGCCCTCTCAGGCGCGCGTTCTCTCATTTGGCTGCCACTCGGTCATCATCACGGTGGCTAGGAGATGTTAACTACCTCGCCTGGTATGCAAGAGGTCTTGGGTTCAATCCCTACCCTGATGCCTGCTGCTGTATATTTGTAGTTTGCGTGTCTCTCTCATTATCATCACGGTGGCTAGGAGATGTTAACTACCTCGCCTGGTATGCAAGAGGTCCTGGGTTCAATCCCTACCCTGATGCCTGCTGCTGTATATTTGTAGTTTGCGTGTCTCTCTCTCTCTCATCATCATCACGGTGGCTGGGAGATGTTAACTACCTCGCCTGGTATGCAGGAGGTCGTGGATTCAATCTCTACCCTGACGCCTGCTGCTGTATATTTGTAGTTTGCGTGTCTCCCTCTCATCATCATCACGGTGGCTAGGAGATGTTAACTACCTTGCCTAGTATACAGGTGGTCGTGGATTCAATCCCTACCCTGACGCCTGCTGCTGTATATTTGTAGTTTGCGTGTCTCTCTCTCATCATCATCACGGTGGCTCGGAGATGTCAACTACCTCGCCTGGTATGTAAGTGGTCGTGGGTTCAATCCCTACCCTGACGCCTGTCGTATATTTGGAGTTTGGATGTCTCTCTCTCATCATCATCATCACGGTGGCTAGGAGATGTTAACAACCTCGCTTGGTATGCAAAAGGTCGTGGGTTCGATCACGACCCTGACGCCTGCTGTATATTTGGAGTTTGCGGTGTCTCTCTCTCTCTCCCCGTGGTCGCGTGGATTTTTCTCCGGGTCCTCCGGTTTTTCCCTCCACATTTATAATCAACATGCGCTTAGAGAATCCGGCTGCTGGACATTTACACGCGACAAGCCGCTTCATTGCGCTCTCGTTTGCGATAACCGAGTTCGCTTCTGGCAGTGAGTTGCATAACTCTGTGAGCCTTAAAAGTAGTTTAGTTGATAGATTGAGACCATGGGCAATCATCGCCCCCTCCTCTCCGGGATGGGCCCCCTTCCCGAACACCACCATGCACTTCCCTCCAGTGTCGACGCCTCTGCGTTGCGCTTGTTTCCCGTTCCACGGGTCCTACTTGTAATTCCGAGCATGTAAATGAGACTTTAAAACGCGGCGTGTGTGTCTGTGTGCATGGGTGGAGCTGTTGGCGCGCTGCGCTATGAACCCGGCGACCCGAGTTCGATTCCCGCTCACGGCCCAACGCCAGTGACCTCCCCTAGGTCGACTCAGCCTGGTGGCGGTGTGTAAACATCGCCACTGGGAAGACAAATGCGTGGTGCTGGCCACCCACCGCCTCGTGTGCCGTGCCGATCTTCAGAGGTGCTGCTCGCTAACAGCACTTGCCCCTACAGTCTGTTAAGGCTACACGGGGGATCTTTGTCTTTGTTGTTCGTGTGTGTATTAGTTAAAGCGCTGCACTACGAACACGGCGACTCGATTATCTGAACCGGTCCTGGGCCTCCCTGTAGGTCGACTCAGCCTCAAACAAGTACACAGTACTTGGCGCGGTGCGCAAAACATCAGCATTGGGAAGACAAAGGCGGCTGGGGGAATGGGTGATGCTCGCCACATCACCCCATCGCTTGCTCTGTTGGCTTTCGCGGGATGCTCGCTGGCAGCACTTGGCCCCAACAGTGTGCAGGTGAGCTCCGTGTATGCGGGGTTGTGTTGTCGTTTCATTATTATTTTCATGCGGCTATTTCTATTCAGGGGAAGTCGCGTGTTTGCCTCGTGTCAGGCTTTGGAGCCAGGGGGTAAAGCGAGGGAGAGGCAGGAGAGAGAGAGGCAGGAGAGAGAGGCAGGAGAGAGAGGGGGGCAGGAGAGAGAGAGAGCGATGGAGAGAGAGGGGGGCCGAGAGGAGAGAGATTGGGAGAAAATCTAATTATATAGAAAACAGGGGGAACATAGACATAGAGTAGGGAGAGAGGGGGGTAGAGAGAGAGAGGGGGTAGAGAGAAGGGGTAAGAAGGAGGAGAGCAGAGCGTGAAATCTTCGTGAAATATTTCATTTAAAAAGGGGGGGGGGGGCACATAAAGCAAAACATTAAAAAACTAAAAAAAAACGAAATGATGAACGAAGCAAAGTGCCGACTACACCGAGCATCTTCTTGTTTCCTCTGATCGTACGAAAAAAGAAGAAAAAAAAGAGGGGCGAGAGAGAGCGATGGAGAGAGAGAGAGACGAGGGAGAGATAAAATGATAGAGTGAGAGATTGCGGAGAGGGAGAGATGGCGGCAGAGAGAGATGTAAAGTGAAGGACAAATAGAGGAGAAACGGAGGGAGGGAGGGAAATCGATGATGGAGGAGGAAAGATGAGATAGATGAGAGTGTGGACTGTGGCGAGTGGTGATGGAGAGGGGGGGGGTCGTTAGAGAGATGAGACACGCGGAGACAAAGAGCGAGAGAGACAAAGACGGACGCTGTTTGGAGTCCACAGAGAAGCGGAGCTCAGCTGAACGCTCGGAGCGACAGCCCCTTGCCTGCGTGGGACGGTGGGGAGGTGGTGGGGAGGTGGTGGGGGTGCGGGGAGGGGAGGGGGGCTCGGAGGAAGCGCGCAGTGGGTGGCTTATCGAGTGTGCAGGCGGTGCAACTGCGCACGGCTCACGGGCACAGCGGAGGGGGTTATGAAAAGGGGCGCGGGGGGGATGGGGGAGGGGAAGGTGAATTAGATAGCCCCCCCCCCCCCCACCAATGTAACATCTTATACTGGAGCCCCTGCACACCACCACCACCCACACTATAGCCCCTACACACCACCACCACAGCCCCTACACACCACCACCACAGCCCCTACACACCACCACCACCCACACCACAGCCCCTACACACCACCACCACAGCCCCTACACACCACCACAGCCCCTACACACCACCACCACCACACCAGAGCCCCTACACCACCACCAGAGCCCCTACACACCACTACCACCACCACACCAGAGCCCCTACACCACCACCAGAGCCCCTACACTACCACCACCCACACCACAACCACCACAGCCCCTACACCATCACCACCACCCACACCACAGCCCCTGCACACCACCACAACCACCACAGCCCCTACACATCACCACCACCACAGCCCCTACACACCACCACCACCACCAGAGCCCCTACACCACCACCACACCAGAGCCCCTACACCACCACCACCAGAGCCCCTACACCACCACCACACCAGAGCCCCTACACCACCACCACCAGAGCCCCTACACCACCACCACACCAGAGCCCCTACACCACCACCACCAGAGCCCTACACCACCACCACACCAGAGCCCCTACCCACCACCACACCAGAGCCCCTACACCACCACCACCAGAGCCCCTACACCACCACCACCACACCAGAGCCCCTACACCACCACCACCACCACACCAGAGCCCCTACACCACCACCACACCAGAGCCCCTACACCACCACCACCAGAGCCCCTACACCACCACCACCACACCAGAGCCCCTACACCACCACCACCAACCAGAGCCCCTACACCACCACCACCACCAGAGCCCCTACACCACCACCACACCAGAGCCCCTACACCGCCACCACCACCAGAGCCCCTACACCACCACCACCAGAGCCCCTACACCACCACCACCACACCAGAGCCCCTACACCACCACCACCACACCAGAGCCCCTACACCACCACCACCACCACCAGAGCCCCTACACCACCACCACACCAGAGCCCCTACACCACCACCACCACTAGAGCCCCTACACCACCACCACCAGAGCCCCTACACCACCACCACCACCCTCAGACCTGCGCAGAGCGAGTTGTGATGCAACTCTCCCTCCCGAGCGTGCAAGCGGCGAGACTGGGCTGATGGCGATGGTGCTCACGATGTCTGCCCGAACACCGGAGCGGGACCCTGGGCGTGATGAGCGATGTCGTCGCCACTGAATCGTCGCGACCACAAAACTCATTCCTGACACGCGAGTCACTCCTCGGCAGGGGGGGGGGGCGATCAGAGGGCGCTGGGTTCGGACCGCCCAGGGCTGTTCCATACACACACACGTGATGTGTCGTGAGTTGTGGTGTGTCGTGTGTTGTCGTGTGTAATGTGTTGTGGTGTACCATCACACGTGTTGTGGCTGGGCGTGTACCATCACACGTGGTGTGTTGTGGCTAGGCGTGTACCATCACACGTGGTGTGTTGTGGCTGGGCGTGTACCATCACACGTGGTGTGCTTCGGGTGTCGCGGCGATCCGTGAGAGAGGGGGAGGGGTGGAGGAATGAATGAACAGCGAGAGAAAGGGGAACGGAGGCGGCGGGCAGGGAGAGCGCGGATGGAGGAGGAATGGAATGAGGGGAATCGCGAGGGATGCGGCAGAGAGGGGGGAGGGGCTGGGGAGAGGGGGGAGGAGATGAGGAGGAGGAAGAGAAGGAGGAGGGAGTGAAGGAAACGAGCACGCTCGGCAGAGATGGAGGGAGGCGGTGCGGGTTGGGGTGATGGTGGCGGGGAGTGACGGCTGGAGGTGATGCGTGAGACTGAGCGGGATGGAGGAAAGAGAGGAGGGCGAGGGGGAGGCAATGGGGGAGGGCGAGAGGGAGGCAATGGGGGAGGGCGAGGGGGAGGGATGAGGGGAGGGGCCGGGTATCTGCTCTGTTACGTCGGGCACGCCGCCTCGTGCGTCGGCACTTGTGCGGAAATCGTCCTCGCTAGCGGGGAGAGCGCGCGTGCCATCACAGCAGACACACAAGCAGACACACACAGCAGACACATAGCAGACACAGAGACACACAGACACAGAGACACACAGAGACACACAGCAGACACACAGCAGACACAGAGACACACAGACACAGAGACACACAGACACACAGAGACACACAGCAGACACACACCGAGACCCAGAGACACACAGACACAGAGACACACAGACACAGAGACACACAGAGACACACAGAGACACACAGCAGACACACACCGAGACCCAGAGACACACAGACACAGAGACACACAGACACACAGACACAGAGACACACACATACACAGAGACACACACAGAGACACACACAAAGACACACACAAAGACACAGACACAGAGACACACAGAGATACACACAGACACACAGAGACACACAGAGACACACAGCAGAGACACACAGACACACGGAGACACACACAGACACACACCGAGACCCAGAGACACACAGACACACAGAGACACACAGAGACACACAGCAGACACACACCGAGACCCAGAGACACACAGACACACAGAGACACACAGACACACACCGAGACCCAGAGACACACAGACACAGCAGACACACAGCACAGACTACACGCATAATACCTCTTCTGTCCTCTCTGCCTCCCAGTGTTACGGAAACGACAGTCACGTACACGTGTGCGTGCGGTGTGAGCTAAGATATAGACTGCTTACATCCGTGTAGCCTTCAGCAGACTGTTGAGGCGGAAGGGCAAGTGTTGCTGGCGAACACGCAGTGCACACACTCAGACTCACACACACTCATAGACAGACGATCACAGACACACACTCAGACACACTCACAGACACACTGACAGACAGACACACACTGACAGACAGACACGCACTCTCGCGCACGTGTGTGACACACGCGCTCGCCGGTACACGTGGAGGAAGTCCAGCGCTGCTGCATCTGCCCGGCTGACTTGGCGAGCATGTCTTGGGGTTACGGAAAGGATAATGGTGAGTGAGACTCTGTGTGTGTGTAAGATTGTATGTGTGTGTATGAGACTAATTGTGTGTGTATGCGACTCTGTGTGTGTATATGCGACTCTGTGTGTATGAGACTGTATGTGTGTGTGTGTGAGCGAGTACCTTAATAGGTGCTCGCTAACAGCACTTGCCCCAACAGTCGGTTAAGGCTATGCGGGGGGTCTTTGTCTTTGTGTGTATGGGACTGATTGTGTGTATAAGACTCTGTATGTGTATGAGACTGTGTGTATGAGACTCTGTATGTATGTGTGTATAAGACTCTGTATGTGTGTGAGACTGTGTGTGTGAGACTGTGTATGTATGAGACTGTGTGTGTATAAGACTCTGTATGTGTGTGAGACTGTGTATGAGACTGTGTGTGAGACTGTGCGTGTGAGACTCTATGTGCATAAACGAGTACCCGGTGCGTTGTGTAAGCATCGCCACTGGGGAGACAAAAGCGGCCGGGCGTGGTGCTGGCCACCCAACCCCTCGTGTATCGTGCCGGCCTTCATAGGTATTCGCTAACAACAGCACTTGCTCCAAATGTCTACTAAGGCTATACGGGGGATCTCTGTCTTTGTGTGGTTAGCGCGCTACGCCATAAATCCGATGACCCGAGTTCGGTTTCACGGCCAACATCAGCGACGAACATCCAAACAACGGGTTCCGTGTCTCCCCTAGGTCGACTCAGCCTCAACTGAGTACCTGGTGCGGTGTGTAGTAAACATCGTCACTGGGGAGACACCGGCGCCCCGGGGTGGGGTGGTGATGGTCACACCACGTGCGCGTGTGTAAGCACGTGCTAGAAGAATGTGTGCGGATGCGTGTGTGTGCGCGCACGTGCGAATGTGTACAACATCGTCACTGGGGAGACAAAGGCGGACGGGGGTGGGGTGGCCACCCACCTCCCCATGCGTACCGTGCCGGCCTTCATAGGTGCTCGGTAACAGCACTTGCTCCAACAGTCTATTACAGGCTATACGGGGGATCTTTGTGTTTTTTTACGTGTGAAAAAGAATGTGTCAATGTGGGTGTGAGTACAGCGATGACCTTGTGGTTGACACACCCTCAGCCCCACGAGTTCGATTCCCAGCCACGAGTGAAATCGGATCCTGTCCTTGCACTTCCCCTAGGTTGACTCAGCCTTGAATGAGTACCTGGTGCGGTGTATATGCATAAGCAATGGGGAGACAAAGGCGGCCGGTCGTGGTGCTGTTAACACCCCCCCCCATACGTGCGCCTCCTCTACCTTCATAGATGCTCGCTAACAGCACTTGGCCCAAAAGTCTGTTGAGGCTATACGGGGTTCTGTGTCTTTGTACCTCTGTGTATGCACGTATGTATGTATGTCTGTGTGTATGTTGGTGCATCTGCCAGTCATCTGTCAGTTAACCCATGGCACCAGGGTCTGTCCCTCCTGCCAGCCAGCCAGCCTTAATTCACGTCACCGCAAAGTGCACCTAGCCTGGCACAAGCGCCGTGGTCACGCCTTGATGTGTGTGATGGGGAGCGGTAGTGTAGCGGTTAGCGTTGCGCTACGAACCCGGCGAACCCGAGTTCGATTCCCGCTCACGGCCAACACCAAGTGACGATTATCCGAACCGGTTCCTGGGCCTCAAATGAGTAGCTACTGGGGAGACAAAGGCGGTCGGGCGTGGTGCTGGCCACCCACCCCCATGCGTGCCGTGCCGGCCTTCATAGGTGCTGCTCGCTCGCTCGGAGCGCTCGCCCCAACAGTCTGTTGCAGGCTGCACGGGGGTTGTGTATTTGCTAAGCGCGGGGGGCAATAGATCTGCCCGTCTGTGTTGAAGCCAAATGCACAAAATACTCCCTCCATCGACTCCCGCCCCCCGTGACTGCTGCCCGCACCCCCCGCACCCCCCGCACCCCCCACGACTCACGAGTCGCGGTGTGGCTCCTCGCTGGGAGCGCACGGGAGGGGGGTGGAGGCTGGATGTGTGTGGGGTGGGTGGGAAGGCGCTGTGGTGCTTTGGGAGGTTGGTGTTGACCCGGGCGCGCGTGAACACAAACAAAGAAACAAAAGTCGTCGTCGTCCCCCTCCCCACTTCTGGGGGCAAGTGCCGGAAAGCCGAGCGCCCATGAAGGCCGACACGGCAACGCGAGGACCACGCCCGGCCGCCTTTGTCTTCCCAGACAAACGTTACCGACACACACACATACCACGCATATTTGTACACGCACACACGACACACACAGATACGTGGAATCGTGTTCAGTACTGTACACTCACGCGCGCTTAACCTCTGGACTCTGAACCGCCCGATCACTCACTCACCACACTCACCACACTCTCACTCACCACACTCACCACACTCTCACTCCCCACACTCTCACTCACCACACTCTCACTCCCCACACTCTCACTCACCACACTCACAACACTCTCACTCACAACACTCTCACTCACAACACTCTCACTCACAACACTCTCACTCACCACACTCACAACACTCTCACTCACAACACTCTCACTCACAACACTCTCACTCACAACACTCCCCTCACTCCCCACACTCTCACTCACCACACTCACCACACTCTCCACACTCACCACACTCTCCACACTCACCACACTCCCCTCACTCCCCTCACTCCCCACACTCTCACTCACCACACTCCCCACACTCTCACTCACCACACTCCCCACACTCCCCACACTCTCACTCACCACACTCACCACACTCCCCACACTCACCACACACTCACTCACCACACTAACCACACTCCCCACACTCCCCACACTCTCACTCACCACACTCCCCACACTCACCACACTCCTCACACTCCCCACACTCACCACACTCCCCTCACTCACCACACTCCCCACACTCCCCACACTCACCACACTCACCACACTCACCACACTCACCACACTCCTCACACTCCCCACACTCACCACACTCCCCACACTAACCACACTCCCCACACTCCCCTCACTCACCACACTCCCCACACTCCCCACACTCACCACACTCCCCACACTAACCACACTCCCCACACTCCCCACACTCTCACTCACCACACTCACCACACTCCCCACACTCCACACACTCCCCACACTCCTCACACTCCCCACACTCCCCACACTCCCCACACTCCTCACACTCCTCACACTCCTCACACTCACCACACTCACCACACTCCCCACACTCACCACACTCCCCACACTCCTCACACTCACCACACTCACCACACTCCCCACACTCACCACACTCCTCACACTCACCACACTCCTCACACTCCCCACACTCCCCACACTCCTCACACTCCCCACACTCCCCACACTCCTCACACTCCTCACACTCACCACACTCACCACACTCCTCACACTCCTCACACTCCTCACACTCACCACACTCACCACACTCCCCACACTCACCACACTCACCACACTCACCACACTCCCCACACTAACCACACTCCCCACACTAACCACACTCCCCACACTCCCCACACTCTCACTCACCACACTCCCCACACTCCCCACACTCCACACACTCACCACACTCCTCACACTCCCGACACTCCCCACACTCACCACACTCCCCACACTCCTCACACTCACCACACTCACCACACTCCCCACACTCACCACACTCCTCACACTCACCACACTCCTCACACTCCCCACACTCCCCACACTCCTCACACTCCCCACACTCCCCACACTCCTCACACTCACCACACTCACCACACTCCCCACACTCCTCACACTCACCACACTCACCACACTCACCACACTCCCCACACTCCCCACACTCACCACACTCCCCACACTCCCCACACTCCCCACACTCGCCACACTCACCACACTCCCCACACTCCTCACACTCACCACACTCCCCACACTCCTCACACTCACCACACTCACCACACTCCTCACACTCCCCACACTCACCACACTCCCCACACTCCTCACACTCACCACACTCCTCACACTCCTCACACTCCCCACACTCCCCACACTCCTCACACTCCCTACACTCCTCACACTCCCCACACTCCTCACACTCCCCACACTCCCCACACTCCTCACACTCCCCACACTCCCCACACTCCTCACACTCCCACACTCACCACACTCCCCACACTCCTCACACTCACCACACTCCTCACACTCCCCACACTCCTCACACTCCCCACACTCCCCACACTCCCCACACTCCCCACACTCCTCACACTCCCCACACTCACCACACTCCCCACACTCCTCACACTCACCACACTCACCACACTCACCACACTCTCCACACTCACCACACTCCCCACACTCCCTACACTCCCCACACTCACCACACTCCCCACACTCCCCACACTCCCGACACTCCCCACACTCACCACACTCCCCACACTCACCACACTCCCGACACTCACCACACTCACCACACTCCTCACACTCCCCACACTCCCCACACTCCCCACACTCCCCACACTCACCACACTCACCACACTCCCCACACTCACCACACTCCTCACACTCCCCACACTCCCAACACTCCTCACACTCCTCACACTCCCCACACTCACCACACTCCCCACACTCACCACACTCCCCACACTCCCCACACTCCCCACACTCCTCACACTCCTCACACTCCCCACACTCCCCACACTCCCCACACTCCCCACACTCCCCACACTCCCCACACTCCCCACACTCACCACACTCCCCACACTCACCACACTCACCACACTCCCCACACTCCCCACACTCCCCACACTCACCACACTCCCCACACTCCCCACACTCACCACACTCCCCACACTCACCACACTCACCACGCTCACCACACTCCTCACACTCCCCACACTCACCACACTCACCACACTCACCACACTCCCAACACTCACCACACTCCCCACACTCCCCACACTCACCACACTCACCACACTCCTCACACTCACCACACTCACCACACTACCCACACTCACCACACTCCCAACACTCACCACACTCACCACACTCA